CCTTTCCTCACAGGAGAGGTGTTCCATCCCCCCCCTCATTTTCGTGGGTGTACAGCGCAGTGTACAGTGCTGCTCTTCTAAGGAAGAATTCCTGAATTGGCTCACAATGACATCCCAAGGAAGTTCTGGTATTCCTCGTCTCTCCATTATTCTAACTCCTACATAATACCTAAATAATATAAACCTAGTGTACCCACATGAAGACAAGAGTAACTTCCAGCAAATACTTTGAGATTTCCCTAACTATTGTTTTTGTTTCATTACAGAGTAACTAAGAAGACCAAGACAGAGATGCATGACGTGCTCTGATTTTGTTACTTTACAACGAGACAGAGATGCATGACGTGCTCTGATTTTTGTTACAACTAAATAAAATTTAGCATTGGTTGTTTTTTGTTTGAAAGAGCAAACACACCACAGCCCTAGATAAATCAGTGTTGTACCACCGAAAGGTACAATTTTCATTAGGATGAATAAGCCTCAACTGGTCTGCGGCATTTACCAAACAATGGCAGAAGGCTGCCCCGGAAGATTAATTCAGTTTCTTTTAAGACTGTCTTTTCTGTTCAATGCATAATAAACAGTATTGATCAAACAGGTGAGGAAAACCGCAGACTTGGTATCGTGATTCGGTATGCAGTCTGGAGCTACACATGTCTTTTTAAACATGCCTTTTTAACATTCCTTCAACAGTCTGGCTGATTTCAATGCTGGCCGAGCACCAACACCAACCGCTGCTAGATTCTTCGTCTTGAAACACAGAAGATTTGCTTGCTATGGCGAAGAGGGAAGTTTCCCTGTTGTTATCCACAGTACAGATTTGGAGTACGTGCCAAAATATACCCGGGGGATGGTGGTGTTGGTTTTGTTTGGGTTTTTTTTAATAATTGTATAATTATCCAAATGAAAGGAAGGAGTTATGGTCTTCCCAACTATAGCTACCTCTCTCCTACCAGTGCTACTGGACCAGAATAATAAAAAGTATTATTTGGTTTTCTTTACAGCTCTGTAATAAAACAATTCACAGAAGGCTAACATGAAATTTCTGAGGAAAATTCCTCCTAGTCCTCCCCTGCCCTTCCCCTCACAAGATCTTCATCCTACTTGGGAACTGTTAAAAAAAAAACCTGAATGCTGTTCTTCAAAACCCCAGTGCAATAGGGTAGCTTTCACCTTTGTTCTGTAACACACCTGGACCTTTAATATGAAGGGCAGCAACATGTCTTCAGAGACTCTTCTCTCATATTTATGTAACTGAACTTTCTCATTAGAGGTGTTGCCTTCTTTTTTTGAAATCAGAAAGTATTACCATTCCAGGGAACCACAAATGAAAGTATTTGCTAGTACTACAGCCCACTTTCTTTTTGCAAGCACGTGCACTGTTCATCCCAATACACAAGCTAAAACAACATGGGCATTTTCTTGTGTAACACTGGATCCCCCCCCCCAATAGAAACACATCTCAAAAAAATATTATGTGATCTCATTGCAGGAAAAATTACAATATCTTTATGTCAAAAATTACATCACTTGAAAGAAGAATCACACCTCATATTTGTTGGCCACTAGCCATCTCTAGTGATGCACAGCAAGGAAGATCGGAGTCATTTGTCAAGACACCAAAAAACCCCGAGAGTTTATTAAAAGTGTTGACATCTTCTGAAGAAAAAAAAACAACCACTAAAGCAAATGAAGCACAGCTCAGCATCAGAAGGAATCAAATGGCTGCCTTCTAATACAGGTGCACATGTGTAAGTGGGTTTATTTGTATACGAAACCTAATACAGGTACCCACACAAATTAAGGGGGAAAAGTTAGCACCCTGGAAATAACAGGGCTGAAGTTTTGCCTAAATGGATGCATGCATACACTAGTATTTTAGTTGCGTCTCTTCGCTACAGGTGTACAGATCAGACTAACTACAGCAAATCCTGCATACTTACCATGCCACAGCATGAAATCAGAACATAATCAACTTCATGAAAAGTGGTACCTTTCGAGAACATCAAAAAGATTAACACAGAACAGTACTAAAAACCTGATTTCGCAAGTGACCTGGGGAGTAAGAAAAAACTGCTAGCACATTCATTGATTTCCTTAAACTCTGAATACTTGATAACCGTCTCCAGAACCTATTTCTGCAGGTGATAATTAAACTGTCTTGTTTTTACAGCTGCTTTCTTCTTGAATCCTTGAGCTATTCAAAGGAAATCAGAAAGCAGAATACCAAAACCTAGTGCGAGTGCCCAAGCGTCTCAAGTTGCTTTGAAAAATCTTTACGCAAATGGCACATGTCTTCTATACTGCTTCTCGTGGCTATTTCTTGTCTGCTAGTTTTGCCCACAGAATATTTTATCTCGGTTGCTCCAATTACCTTTCTTTTTATACACAGATATTTGGGAGAGCAGTGAAGCCCATTTTAGAAGGCTGCATGCGGGCTGCAGGTTACACAGCTGTGCTGCCTAGGGACTTCTGCACACCTGCCCCAGGAACAGCTAAGAAGCAACTAATTTTGCACCACTTGTACTCTCCCCCCTGTCAGGCACATTCTGTGGAACTGTTCCCCCCACGCCACTCTCCACCCACTTCGTCCAATACAGGTTCCATTGATACTGCAGGGAGCTGAAATGAAAGATAACTACAATAATCAGATCATATTTGAACTTACAAGAAAGTAACTTTGAACAAAACAGGTGTTTCTATAAGTTCAGGTGGATCAGACCCATCTAGAAGTTTGGCAATACAATTAATAATGTGGCAACCTCCTCTTTTTGCAACTGAATTGAAGCGTGTTTATAGCTAAAGAGACTATTCGGAAATCAATGATCTCATCTAATATCACTGTGAAAAAATCTTTTGGTTTTGCTTTCTAAGAAACCGGTGTAACTTAACACATACAAAAAAATCCCACACTTTACCAGGAATGTTTACATAAACTTTAAAAATATTTTAACTGCCTTAAAAAAGAAATCTGGCTAAGCATTCCGTCTGTCAATTGGTTCAATGCTCCTACAGGAAACAGATCTACATTCACAAAATACAATAATTTTTGATTTGAAATACGTATCATGCATCATGGTATATACTGGGAAGAAAGAATTCATGTATCCTAATAAGCTTCCATTTATATACACACACACACTGCGTAATTTAAAATAAACAGCATTCATTTGAATAAAAATATACTTCCAACAACAGAATTTCTCTATTAAATCCATGTTTATTGCTTAAGTTTTATCACAGTGGAGATTAAATTATGCTTAATCATCCGGTCAGTGCTTTTGTACCTTCTTCAATGCCAAAAAAAACATTTAAACCAAGTCATTCATACACTCTAAGTCTTATTACCATCCCACCATTCATCGCCTCTGTGTGCTCCTTTAGTTGCCGCAAACTGCAAGATTGTAAAAAGGTATAGCTAATAGGCTTATTTATAATACCATTTTCTTCAAGTATTCAGAAAGCAGTACAAGTAGCTGTACTGTATATTAGAAACATAACTGCACTGTTATTTATTGCTACAGGATAGAGGCTCCTGATGGAATGATAGTGAAATATTGCATCACTGTGTATGAAGATGATCTCAGCATCCTGTAATCACCGCAACTCTTCCCATGTTAGTGAACAACACTAGGTAAATGGGTTTTCTTTCCTTTCTCTTTCAGGCATGGGTTTCGAACTACAAATAAATAAAGCATACACTCACATGTGTAGTGCAAATTCCAAGTAAACAGAATGACATGGAAATAAACTCATAGTTGCCAACTCTGGTTCCGCGGGGCAGTTATGATTTTATGCCCAGCGCCCTGCTTCCCCGCCCTCGGTGCACACCACCGCCAGCGTCCCATGTCGGCGACAATGATTGAAAGAGATTGTTGCAGGGAGGGGCCGGAGCTGGGGAGGGGGGAGCCGCCCACCTCTGCAAACCTCGCGCTCCGGTGGCCAGGCTTCACCCGACACGTCCCATCAGACCTCGGAAGGAAGGCTGGTCACCCACCCGGAGAGCAGCCTCCCGTCCCGCATCGGAGAATTTGTATTGGCAACTACGTGAAACATGGATTGCGTGGCCCAGACTAATAGAAGGTAATATTTTTCCGGATACAACCATTGAAAGAGAACATCTACAACATTGCGATTTAGAAAGAACTTAATAACAATGAGAATTAATAGGAAAGACATTCAACTTTAGGGTGGTGGGGGGGGCACGTTTGTTGTTCATTCGTTTTAAACAAACCCCAAATAGTGGTTTGATTCTGCACAGCTCTGGGCCGTTACAAAACCTTCTGCATTAAGCACAGGGCTAGATTTTTTTTGTCGTCGTCATCTCATTTATTTTTCTTAATTATGCAAGTCTTTCTCCCACACAGCCACATTTCAAACTGAAGTAGAACTCCCTAATATTTTCATGGCATAAATTATATATGCAGAGAAAGGCAACAAATAAATTTTTTTATAAATTAAAAATTAAGACATATTGTAGACTTGCTCAAGACCCTTTTCTCCAAAGTACTGGTAGCGAGCAGAAGAGTCATGCAGCTTATCTGTGAAAGGAGTACATATTTTTTGCCATTTGTCTTCAGTGCTCATTTTAAGATTTTTTTTTTTTAATGTCTGTTCTCAGTCCGCAACTTGCGATTTCTTGCACAAAGACTGGGGAAAATTATTTTTTTTTAAACAGCATTCTTACACAACATGTTGAACCTTCAACAAAGGAAACACAGAGCTAGCACTAAAGTTCTCTCAGATAAAAGATGGATATATTAAAATAATAAAAAAATAAAAGGAAAAAACCTCTGCAAATAAAAAGAAACCTTTCCTCATTTGGGACACACATATGTAGCTTTTAAAAACTGAAAATTCATAAATACGGTCATTGTATAACTTTAGAGAATTAAGGCTTCTAAAAACTTCAATGCCAAAATAACCTCTCTGCATCAGTATTAAGAATAAAATATTTTCCATTTTAGGTTGTGCTTGCCTTTTTTTTTTTTTAAAAGACTTTTCTTAGTTCCGCAGAATTTTGTCACATAATATTACATACTGAAGGGGAGTGTTAGAACTGCTTATTGAGGTTTTAAGTAGTTGTTAGACTAAGTTACAGCGATAAAATTCGATTACTGATCTGATTCATTACTACTTTACATGGGGCAGTTGGCTCATTTCACCTTTTTTTCATGCTTAATGTGGCCATTTCTTCTATACTTGCCATTTGGTATCCCATTCTGGTAATGTCCATTAACAGCGCTATGTTCATCATTTGACCAAAGATGTTTGCTTTGTTTGCGGATAAATTTTGTTATCCTGGCCAAAATATAATAAAGTAAGGCAGCACCCACTAGTACAACAAAGGCAATATCCAGTAAGAAATACTGATATAAAGAGATGCTGTAAACAGCGGCACGTAGATGTTGGGCTCCGTTGTGACGGAGGATGTAATTAATCCAGTATACAGTCCGGTTAACAGGATGACCAGGTTGGTCTTTGTGGATCTCAGACAGCCTCTGGGCCCGCTGCCGGTAGCTGCAGGGAAGAAGAAGAAAGAAGAGGGAAGAAAGGAAAAATTGTCGTCAGCGCTCTGAGCCGCGCAAGCCTGCAAACACATAAATATACTTAAGCCTCTTCAGATCAAACAGCGTATTACCCCAGGACTCTCGCAACCACCAGCATACAGAGGGCTAGACAGGGCAGATAATCTGTCTCTAAATCAGTCCTTACAGCTCATTGATGAAGAATGACTAGAAAGGCAGACCCGTGTGTGACTAAAGGCAGAAAGCCACCCTCCAGCAAAGCTATGAAGAGCCAAGCTGACCTGCTGCCAGAGGGGAATCTTATCTAATCCAAAATGAATCCTATCCAGTGAGACACACTTGTAAAATGGCAACATACCCTGTCTAACGCACGACTCATTTAAGTCATTGTGCAACTGAATTACTAGAGAAACACAGAACAAAGCGAGAAACTCGGTTTTGATTGCGCAATAGACTTATTTCCGCTTGGGTCCAGAGTTCAGCCTAAAACTTTTTATTTTTCTCAACAGGCCGTCCCCAGCAGCCGATCATGTCAAATTCCTCCTCTCCGCCCTCACCGCAGCTGCAGGGTCAACAGGTTATTTATGCAGGACTTGCCTTTCTACTAAGGATAATTGCACAAGGGAAAGGTGATGCAACTGATGTTATCGAGATCTCTTTAGCAACATTCCCCTTTGCTGTGGTTCTGCTGCTCGCTCCTGACAGGTTGCTCCTCTCCCAAGGCAAGCGCCACTTAAAGACTTTGCTCCCATGCAAGCAAGAAGCATTGTCAGCACCGTACTCCAAAACTGCGGTTAGCCCAATACAATAAACCACCAGCTAACACCATTATTTTTAATCTGGAGATGGTCTGAACATTACAGATGTTTAAAACAGAACAGTTCGGAACAAACTTGTGAAGTGACTCTCCTCGCACTTTAATATCCCTGAGCAAATTCGTTTGCTGGAATTAGAAAGAGTTCCGAAACCCAGTTCATGGGCTTCTACTTATTCTGAGTAACAAAAAAAAATTTACAAAAAACAGACTGGAGTCCTCATATTCATAATAATTTGTTAGAATATTGTCATTGCAACAAACACAAATGACCTTCCTGACCTTAAGAGGTATTACTGGCCAGAGCAGGAAAATTTATTGGTTTTTTTTTTTAAATCAAATCACAGGACTTTAGAAAAGAGTCACTCGTTTTGAACACCTCCATATTTTTAGCTACAATCCAAACATGCCACCCTACAATTGTATAGGTGTACTTTGTGGCAGGCCCCTTAGGCAGCACAACAGACAGACTGCTAAATATGGAGTAATCAAGACGCACAAAAAGAGACATTGGTCTGCAGCAAAGAATAAGTCAGGACAGGTTTGTTTCTATAACCTTTCTGCTCTTCACATGGCAAGTGTCACAAAAAGCAGATGAGACAATTGAGTTTTGGTACGCTGAGCAACGAGCTTAGCACCTACACAGAAACCTGATCAATTGAGTAATCTTGTGAAATGGGACAACCATCCAAAGACTTGCCCCAACTGTACACACAAATAAATCCCAACATGCAGGTTTTTTTCCCTTGCACAAAGGTTCTGCATATGCATATTTATCTCATAACAATAACATAAAAGCAAGAAACACTTGCTCATTCCATACCTGGGATCATTAATAACTTTTACTAGGGCTTCATACAATTCGTTCTCAGTGACAGTCTTCCAGTTCAACAATATTCCCATGCCTTTGGCCTGCACACGAGTCATAGTATCGTAATGGTCTCCAAAAAGGGGAATCCCCACCACCGGGACCCCATGGTACATGGTTTCAAAAATGCTGTTCAAACCTCCGTGACTAAGAAAAGCTTTAATGTTAGAGTGACCTGAAAACAGAAGAGGCATGAAGATTAAAAAAAAAAAACCACACCACAAAAAACCCCACACATTTACATGTCCTTAATGTAAAGTTATTGAAGCAACTGGGTACAACGCATTTGCCACCGTGTTTCTATGGCTGCAATTCAGGAAGGCAAAAACGAACGCAACCTGTTCTGAAGTTCTCCTTAAACCCACTCCACTGAAATTTCACATGCATTAGATGATTTCCTTACACACTAAGAGAGGGGGAACAGCCAATGCAAAGAAAATTCTCATGTATGAGAGTTGTGTAAAATTATTAATGGAGTAATTAATATACATTGTTTACTCCTGAGTCGCTGCAGGTGGTGCCTACAACCAGCTTAGCAGTACAAATGAGCCAGGGAGAGAGCATTTTTCCTCATTATTCATACGAAATACAAGCTATTTAATGACAGGACAACTGATGTTACATTCTCTCTAAAGCTTCACACACCTTACTTCAGGCTAGCAAGATCTGACAATAATGATAACCTTATGTAATGGGAAAATGAGACTGCCTCAGAGCAATTTAGTAACCAAAACAAATTTACTCGGTTTAAAAGTCATTTGCCTAATCATTATGATAAATACTCTAGCTGACATGCACACACACAGACACACATGCTTAACGCATTCATCAGCACCCATCATAGTACTGGCGCTGTTTTGCGAACCCACAAACATCCAGGTATCCCAGAGACAACCATAAACATTCTGTGGCCCCTCGGATCTGCAATGTATTCAGCTACCCTTCGACTGGGAAGGAAAGGAAAAGTAAAATACGTAGACCCTAACATAGTCTTTACCAAAAGATGGAGGAATATCAAGTTTCACCTCTGCACCTAAGAACCCAGAGCACCTCAGGTTAGTTAACAGAAAGGTTATTATCAGCTTGCAACACATGCCCAAGTTCTGTTAGAGCTTTCTTTGGAGGAAAAATAAATGTGTATGTATACAGCACTACGAACAGACCCCCTAAATCTTGTTTTGATGCAATGTGAACAAATCTTGTACGCTCAGTTTTATGACTCTTCTATGAAGAGACCAGTGAACACCATACCATGCTTTTTCATAACAGAGAAATTAAAAGTTACAGTCATCAGCTCCCTAAAATAGCAGATTCAAGAAAATCCCTACTTGCTTATCTTTAATAACTATTTTTTCCTCGAGCTGTATAGCTCCCATGGTATAGAAGACACTTGTCAAAAAGTTTTCCCATTTATTAGGCCAAAGAGTCTTTGGAATAACTATATCCTTCTCTACACATTAACTTAAGGAAAAAAAAGGCGTTACTACCAGGGAAAGATAATTAACATCAGAAAGGTGTTTGATTTCGTCATCTTGAAACTCCGACGAATTCTATATTCTTGTTCTATGACTTCCATTACAGAAATTATCCTAGATTTATGATGACTGGTAATTTAGTAGCATATTGTTGGAAGAACAACCTGAACTCGAGTCAGAATAAGCAGTGGATGATCAAAATAGATACTCACCAAGGAGGTCGTTTTGTGGTAACCATTCTATAAGCTTTGTATTGTTGCCTAAATTCCTTGGCTTGTTTCCTGAAAACCTAAAACAATAAAATCAAATTGAAACTGAGTTATCAAGACCTCCAAAATCGATAAACTCAAACCAGAGAATCAAACCAAATGATCCATGAGCCCTAAGCAGATCTCCAGCTACCCGGGGATACTGTTTACTCACTATTACAAGAAAACAAAATAGGCTCAACCAAAATGCTGTAAACAGCTAATAACTTCCAACTCCATGATGTTTTCATCATTCAGTTTCCTCACAATCTGGCTTGAAATGCAGTGTTTTCTATTAACATAATGGCAACATAGTTCCTTCTCAACACACATATAACTCTTACCACTATGACTGGCAGGAGGTTTCATAACCTCCCCATGGCTCCGAGCCCATTGCTTTACTGAAAACTCTGGCTGGTACTAGATAAATAACTCCACCGAGAACATCCCATCAGCAGCACATAAATAATAATCCCTACCACCAACACAAGGCATTCCCTTTCAGTTGGCCAGTTTCCTGTAGCTATTGATAATCCACACTGTCTTATTTTAAAAGGAGTTACTAATACCAGGAAGGGAAAGGCTGACAGCTCAGCTTACGAGGCAAGAAGCTACTGATAAGAAGTTTGGGATCAGACTGTGAGACAAGTGTCTCACTTGTCTTACTTGCTCAACTGCCTGAAACCCAATGGCAACATCTTGCTCACCTGAGGTTGCTGGAAAAGTTTAGCCCATAAAATACAGGCTCAAAGTACAAACTGGTTTACATATTAATGTTATAAGCAGTTAATATAGAAAGCTAAATATATTCTAAACGGAAAAGAGTGAAAAAAATTACCAGTGACCACTAGAGGATAGAACTGTGTTGTGACAGTTCCATCGAACGACTTAAAAAATATTCTGGTTATTAGAGAGCATTAGAACTATAACTTCATAAAGAATCACCTACATATTCCCAATTGAGCAAGCCATACATCTTTACAACTGGCTTGTACATTCTATATGTTGGAAAAAAGCCTACGTTATTTATGATAACTTATACAAAAGCAAATAAACTGTTACTACTACTCCATAATCGGAAGCGTATGAAGAACTAAAGATTTTCTTGATTTGGCATTGTGACATAAGACTGCCAAGCAGTACTACCTTTCTCATTTTCAGAAATATCTAGTATAAAAACCATCTGCGTCCAACAGACTATAGGCCAATGATCTGAAGAACAAAAAAAAAATCACAGTAAAGTTGGACTCAATTTTGTATTTAGGTATTTAATTATGGATCTCAAATTCCCACTGGGGTGGCTGAAAGCCACTTGCTCAGCTCTCCCAAAGACCATGTCTTACACCTAGTCCCAGGGACATCTTTCCATTCCACAAATCCTGATGGAAAGAAACAGCAGGTGAGTTCCCTTATCCAAAAAGCCATTCAGCAGATAATAGATTGCAGATAAAAACAGAACAAAACAAAAAACAAAAAAGCATTGGTAAGGAAATACAAGTGAGGAAAATTAAACATTTTAAAAGGTGGCTTCAACTGAAATTGTTGCTTTTGCATTAAAAAAGTTATCCCCGAGAAAAATCCATTAAAATTTATGTATTTACTACAGGAAGTGGATACTTCCTACAGAAAAACATACCAGGGAAAAACACGATAAAAGAATAAAACAAAAGAAAAGCAGTAAGATCAAGTGGGACTAACAATTAATTATAAGCCAAGCAGTGTTGCAGGTTTCATGAGAAACAAACATATAGCAGCTCTACCCCAAACAAAAACTCGTGAGATCTTCACTACAACTACCAAAGGTTCTGTGCCGTGGCCTGAAGAATTTCCATTTTCCTGTTCGTTAGTGGGGTTCACTATTTCAATTATACACAGCGATGAAAACGGTCCCTAAGAGATGGTGGGGAACAGGACGCTAAATAGACTGCTAATACAACTCCAAAAGCGCAGCAAGGACAGCAGTCAAATTGTAAGACACTGATTATTTGGAAACCAATGGTTCACATGAACTCCTCTAAATTATATTCGAGCGACGCTCCATATGAAGCAGAGCTGACTAAACAGTTCTTGGATTTTTACAGTAAGTTTAGAGAGCCACTCAAGATGTTTTTAGAGCCAAAAAAGCTTGTTACTGATTTTTACTCCTGCAGATTTTTCTTCCTCCAATTTCTCACAGATAAAGACAAATGAGAAGAGCAATTATGAAAGTCTATATTTACAGATAAAAGAGGAGAAGGAGCCCAAAAAAAAAAAGAGGAAAAAAGAAAGATAAAGAAGAAAACCTAGGATTAAATCAGCAGGATGTCATTCTTGCTCCCTACAGTGGCTTCTTTATCAGAAATGATGACAGTATGTCACAAATGTTATAACCTCAGACTCTCTTCTCACTGTCAGCAATCCTTCTAGGCTATAAACTCCGGACAGGAGTATAACCTATGCCTTATTCTGCCACAAAATCATTGCTCCTCCTTATTACCAGGGGACCACAACATTTCCACAAAGAGTCTTTCAAAAGAGTCAGGTCCTCTGCACCACCCAGACTGTCTCAATTTCAGCTTCTGCAACTCTAGATCAAAATGGCACAGTAAGAAATGAGCATGCTTCAAATCACCCCAAGTACATCTATCATTGCACTTACCTCCAAATAACCCTCTGAGGCAGTCTCGCCAGAGCATGTGCTAACTTATTTGCTATATCTTCCGACAGGTATTTCACCCCAGCTCCAAATGAGACGAGGACAAAGCCATTTTCGTTAGCACCATTCACCCATATTTGGAGATCCTGTTGTGAAAAGTGAAAGTTTATACTGAGCACTGTAGAACCACAGGTAAACCACAGAAGCAGATTAAACAACCATTGCTTAGGAAGAACAGTCATTGGTCCTGACATTACTTCGCAAGCCAAGTTTCAAAAGCCATGAACATTTTAGAAGTTATCGAGTATAACGACTCGATGATTCAGAATCCACGGTTCAGGCTATGAACAGCAAAATTCTTCCGGGTTTGTTTTAGCTTCCGTATTAACAACCAGTTTCATAAGACAATATGTCCTTTCTTAACCGATCAGTTGACACACATTCACATGTTAACACATTACGTTTTAACTCGGCAAAACATAAATAGATCTATCTTGCAGTATCAGCCTGGAAGTACAGCACAGGAAATACATGAGCGAAGTCTGGGACTCAACTGTGTGATTTTTAGCCTTAAAGAAAGTGAGTGTGCTCCAGAAAGGGTTGTTTTTATTTCATTTATATAAAAATAATAAACACAACTTGAAAGAAGCCGGAGCTTCAAAAACCACCCTCAGTTTCCACTGCTCCAATATTTCAAGGAGCAAGGAACAATACTGCATCTGCATGGCAAGTACAGGGTGGGTGTCCCTCTTTCTTGGCTCTCTATACTTTATCTTCCTTAGACCTAACTGTGTGCCTCTTCCACAGCAAGTTACCAGTATTACATTAAATATAAACAAGTGTAACAAAGGCCAAAGCCCTTTACATCCTTAAGCTCATCCTCCTCCTGTAAGTACTCTGAAATCGAGTCTCTTGCAACACAGTTTTTGCTGACCCTCTTGATTCAAGGGCTGCCCCAACACAGGCAAGGCAGGCAACAACCCTGAAAGCAAAGGTCTGCAGTACTGCACTGCTCAGAAGTACTCCAAAAGCAGAACCAACATCAACCTGCTGGGGGGTAACCCAACGGCCACACCATGAGATTCAAGTTCAGAGGCAGCAGCTTTTACAGTAGGGCACCCTGCGATGCTTCTTCTGTGGCAGCGTCAGGCCCCCTGCCTTCTGCTGCACAGGGCTTTGGGGCTGTCACCAAGAGATGCTCAGCCCACACGTGGTCACTGGGGGGAACGCCCTATGCACAACCACAGCTGGCCCAGGGTTTCACTACACTAAACACCTCAGTGCCTTGGGTCCAGTCACAGGTAATTCCTTCACTGCTGATGCTTTGGGCAAGTCCCAGTTAAGTTGCAAAGGAGACCGCGACATCCAAACCCCTGGGCTGACTTGGTGGAAACGGGATTTGTGTCACCGGTGACAAGGCAAGCCAGCAGACACCACTACCAACTGCCACCAGGACAGCAGGGCTCTGCAGGGTGGGAGGAAAAACCATCCTAGTACACAAGAGACAGCAGAGCTGTCAGCTAAAACAAGTCTTGGACACAAGAACAATGTAATTTGGCTTCAGGGAGGAAAAAAAAAATGATAGTAATTTGGCTTCAGGGAGGAAAAAAAAAAAAATGATGGGAAAAAAGGTGAAAGCCTCAGTGTACCCTTTGCTTTTGGAAATGTAGATTTAAATTCTATTTTTCCAATGCAACTGTTGGCAGTGGAAACTAGAAAATTATACCACTGACACAGATATGTCAGTCTGCCAACGAATAACTTACATTTCCCAGGATATGGCTTAATTCTGGTCTCACCAATTTAGACATAAGCTTGCTCAATATTAGTACAGCAATAGGAAATGAGTAAAAGGAAAATCAAGAGCCCTGTTCACAATGCACCTCTTGTCCTGGTAATAAATAGCAGGCCAGACAGTAATAGAGTACTGCTATTATACAGTACAATAGCAAATGTGCTATTGTATCTGAGCACAAAACCACAAAAGCTACTACAAAAACCAGGAGGCATAACGAAGACCTGTACGTTACGCTGGGGGTTGTGTGCTAGTCTCTGCTATGCAGTGAAAAAGGGATTTCCATTTTCTCTAGAATCCACACTTTTTCCATTTTTCTTCATCCTTTTCCAGTGCACTTTCTTTTTCCATTTTTTTCCACATCTGTGGAGGGAGCAGGAAGAAGGGAAAGGAGGGGAAGTGTCTGCGATCTGCCCTGAAGCTGAATCCTTTATTATGGGCTGAACTTCTGACATGAAGGTTTCCAAGTGGTTTCATGATTTATTTAAAGTTTGTCCTTGAATTTTACTTAAGGACCTAAGGCATGTTGCAAATGTAATTATATTATAGTCACTTTTACTTAGTGGTTCAACTAGTTACATCTTGAACCATTTCCTCTCTGTTGTTCAAATGCTAAATAGAAAATAACCTTTTGCAGGCTCTAGGACAAACCATTCTGAAAAGCAATCAAGTACCATGCTGTGAAAGACAGCTCTCTGCCCATTTGTGACATTCGACCAAATTATATTCTGAGAGCTGAATTCACCTGTTACAAGGTGGTTTTCTTCCGACAGCTGGAAGAAGCCAAACATTTACAGGCTCTGGTCTTCTTAGGGCCCTCACCCACCCCGATACCTGCTAGAGGGGCAGAAAGCTGGAGGTTTCTGGAGTGCCTTCTTGATGACAGTTCCATGACACAGGCGCTCAGGAAGCCAACAAGAGGAGACACTCTGCTGGACCTCATGCATACAAACAAGGAAGATCTTGTCTGGGATGCAAAGGCTGGGGACAGCTTTGGCTGCAGTGACCGTGAGATGGAGGATTTCAGGATACTGAGAGGACGAGGAAGACAACAGCAGCATCTCCTGGACTTCAAGGGAACCGACTCTGGCCTCTTCAGAGACCTGCTTGGAAGAATCCCATGGGATACAGCCCTGGAGAGAAGAGGGGTTCAGGAGAGCTGGTTGATATTCAAGCATCAGCTCCTCCAAGCTCAAGCACGGTCCACGCTGATGAGCGGGAAGTTAAGCCAAGGTGGCAGGAGGATGAACAAAGGACTCCTGGCAAGACTCAGATGTAAAAAGGAAGCATACATGAGGTAGAAACAGGGACAGGTGGCCTGCGGGGGGAATATACAGGCACTGCCTGAGCTTGCAGGGATGGGGTTTGGAAAGCCAAAGCCCATTTGCAGCTTAATCTGGTAAGGGACATGAAGGGCAGCAAGGTACATGAGCAGCAAAAGGAAGACTAGGGGAAGCATGGGCCCACTGCTGAATGGGACGAGGGACCTGGTGACAAAAAAATATGGTAAAGGTCAAGGTACTTCCTGCTTTCTTCATCTCAGCCTTTACTGGTAAGACTGGCCTTCAGTAATCCCAGGTCCCTCAAACCAAAGGGGAAGTCTGGAGCAAGGAAGACCTACCCTCAGTGGAAGATCAGGCTAGGCTACTTTTAAATGAACCAGACATACACAAGTATACAGGACCTGATATGATGCCCCCAGAAAAGCCAGTAGGCAACCGGGAGCTGGCCAATGTCACTGCAAGGCCACTCTTGATTATCTTTGAAAGGTCAGGGCAATCGGAGAAGATTCCTGTGGACCGGGGGGGGGGGGGAGTGTCAGGTAGCAGGGGGTGGAAGAAAAAGCAAGCATCACTTGCATTTTCGTGAAGGAGGATCCAGGGAATGGGCTGCTCAGCCTCACCTTGATCCCTGGAAGGTGATGGAGCAAATAATCCTGGAGGTCATTTCCAAACATACTAAGGACAACATGAATGGAGCAGTCAGCATGGATTTATGGAGGGAAAATCAGCTTGATCAACCTGATAGCTTTCTACAGTGAGAAAACTGGCTCAGTGAATGAGGCAAGAGCAGTGGATGCTACCCACCTTGACCCGAGTAAGGCTTTCAGCCCTGCCTCCCACCACAGCCTCACAGACAAACTGATGAGGTACTAGCTACACAAATGGACAGTGAGGTGGGACTGAAAACTGGCTAAACTGCGGGGCCCAAACAGTTGTGATCAGTGACACGAAGTCCAGCTGGAGACATGTTTGCTTTTTAATAAGGACAAAAACAGGATAGCTGGCAGTACTGCTCAAGTATTTCTCATTCAGCATCGGGAAGTCCTACCCGTGACTACTTATGCTTGGTCAGACACACGGTTTCTGCTGCTACAGATCAGTCTGTTCTAGCTGAGGAATGGCTCCCAAGGCTACTGCTCCTCTTTGCTTAATTAGAAATTCCGTGAGACTTCATAACTCTGATGTATTCACATGAGAGTTATACATCGTTATGTAAACATAGAGAAGGTATAAAATATGTCCTTATAATGGAATTTCTAAAATAGCATTCAAAAATCCACATGTATAACAACAAATAGCTATTAAGTATTTAGAATTTTATGTAGAGGAAAAAAAGAAAGGAACTTTACTATGTACCATGGAATTAGAGTCACCCTACAAACAGGCTTTTGCATTTTATCTTGTGCAACAGCAAAGCAACCTGCTTCGAGTTATTATGGATGATTTCATAGCCAAACCTTTGTAACCCCTCCCTTTGAAGGTAATGCCACTGTTTCAGTGGAACATAACATGTACAAAAGGGAACGTAACATCTTGACAGGCAAGACAAGATCCTGCCATCAGGCTGAAAAGATGGAATTTGTTTGTCGTATTAAATGGGATTACATTAAAAAAATAAAAATCAACAGAATACAAACTGTTTTATTTTGTATAAACCGAAGCTTATTATCCGAGCGCTCCCTCTCCTGACCCACTTCCTAAGTGTGGCAACACACAAATGCACACTCGCAAGCTCTCAAACTGGGATCCAAGCAACAGAAGTGTGCATGGAAGGATTTTAATTAACTTCAGAAATCAGGCATGCTTCCCCTCCAGACAGGTCCACACAAGGAAGAGACAAGTGAAATGAGGTTTGCCATGCTCCAAGTTGGTCAGGTGCAAATCAACTCTGATCCAACAGGTACATAATGATAGGTACAAGTGCAACAGGCAGGGACTTAGCTCAGAGAGAACAATAGCCTACACAGCTACCACAGGCTTCCAGACCAGAGCTGGATGTTTCTGATATGGGTTGGCCAGGCATCAAAGGAACTTGAAGTTTTCCTCAGCGTTTCTTTTAGGATGCTAA